ATTTGGCAGAAGCCACCTTAGCCAAATAATCAAATTTAAAGTCACCAATGCGGGAATTCTCCAACATCACTGTGTTCCCTGCCTGAATGCACACAAAGGACACAAAATGATCTATGCTGTATTTCTGCCAAAAGAGTTTAATCAGATTTTAGCAGCATGCCTGTAATCCCAGCAACTGGGGAGGCTGAAAAGGAGGATCAAAGTTTGAGACCAGCCTTAGCAATTTAGCAAGACCCTATCTCAAAAAAAAAAAAAGGTTTGGGGACATAGGTCAGAAAAAGTGACCCTGAGTTAAACTCCCAATACCAAAAAAAAAAAAAAAAAAAAGAAAGAAAGAATTTGGACAGATTCAATTTAAGGTGCACAGACACACACGTGCACACAGCCCACAGCCTAATTTCTTAGAGACACAAAAGAAAGTAACAAATAAAAAGGACAAAGAACTATTCTAGATTTAAAGAGATTGAAGATGCATAATAAATAAATGCAATGTGTAGTCTTTGATGAATCTAATAACCAAGGGTTAAAAAAATAAAAATCTATTAACTCAGTAGATTATCAGATCAGAGGAGTAAATTACACAATCAAGCCAATAAATGACAAAAAAAAGGACCAGACAACAATTCAACATTCACTTACAACTTTCAAAAATTTTCTTTGCAAATTAGGAATAAAATAGAACTTTCTTAGTCTCGTGAGGAGTACAGATCAAGCATCCCTTCTCTGAAATGGCTGGGGCCTGATGAGCATCCAATTTGTGTTCAGAAATACTCTAAAATTCAAATTGTCCTATGCTCAGAAAGTTCGATTTTGGAGCATTTCAGACTTTGGATTTTCAGATTAGGAATACTCAAACAGTATCTTTTTTAAAAAAATTAAATTATTTATTTATTCTAATTTTTTATACACGATGGCAGAATATAGTTTATTTCAATTATACATACAGAGCAGAATTTTTCAAATCGCTGATTGTACACAAAGTATTTTCACACCACTGGTGTCTTCATACATGTACGTAGGGTAATGATGTCTAACTCATTCCACCATCATTCCTACCCCTTTAACCCCTCCCTTCTCCTCCCTCTCCTTTGCCTTCATTCCTAAAGTTCCTTCATTCTTCCCATGCTGCCCCCACATCACCATTACGAGTCAGCATCCTCATATCAAAGAAAACACTTGGCCTTTGGGATTGGCTTACTTCACTTAGTGTTATAATTCACCAACTCCATCCATTTACCTGCAAATACCATGATTTTATTCTCTTTTAATTCTAAGTAATATTCCATTGTGTATATACACCAAAGTTTCCCTATCCATTCATCCACTGAAGGGCATCTGGGTTGGTTCCACAGTTTAGCTATTGTGAATTGTGCTGCTATAAACATTGATATGGCTGTGTCCCTGTAGTATGCTGTTTTTAAGTCCTTTGGGTATAGACTGAGAAGAGGGATAGCTGGGTCAAATGGTGGTTCCATTCCCAGTTTTCCAAGGAATCTCCATACTGCTTTCCAGATTGGCTGTGCCAATTTGTAGTCCCACCAGCAATGTATGAGTGTGCCTTTTCCCCCATATCCTTGCCAACACTTATTGTTGTTTGTATTCTTTATAGCTGCCATTCTGACTGGAGTGAAATGAAATATTAGAGTAGTTTTGATTTGCATTTCTCTAATTGCTAGAGATGTTGAACAGTTTTTCATATGTTTATTGATTGATTGTATATCCTCTTCTGAGAAGTGTCTGTTCAGTTCCTTAGCCTATTTATTGATTGGGCTATTTGTTGTTTCTTTTTGGGGTGGAAGGTTTTTGAGTGCTTTATATATCCTACATATTAGTGTTGTATTGATATGCTTGTGGTAAAGATTTGCTCCCTTTATGTAGGCTCTCTATTCACCTCACTGATTGTTGCTTTTGCTGAGAACAAGTTTTTTAGTCAAACAGTATCTTAAAAAAAAAAAAAGCCCTAGAGCAAACACCATACCTACTGATGATAAATTAAACATTTTCTTTTTGAACTTGGGAATAAGGTAAAAATGCTTCCAACCATCTCTTCTATGAAAAAGTACAGACCAGGCACCAGCCAGCACAATAAAGTACAAAACAGAAATGAGGTATACAGGTTAAAAAGGAATCAGCAAAACTATTATTGTCAGGATTGTGTGCATAGGAGACCCTAAAGAATGTGCAAAGTAAGTTAAAATTTCTAAGAATTTTGTTGGGTACAAAAATTGAGATGTAAAAATCTATTTCATTTCTATATATGTATAGCAAATATTTCCAAAATAAAGAAATCAAAAAACCATTTGCCATACAATAAAAATATGAATACCTAGGAATACATTTAACAGAATATGTGCAAGACCTCCACAGAGAAATCTTTGAGAAGCACTCAAGATCTAAATGCTTGTTCGTGTTTGGCAAGACTCACTGTCATAAAAATCTGTTTTCTCAACTTGATTCATGGAATTCAAAGCAATCTCTGTCAAAATCCGAATAGATTTTTCTTTGGTAGAAATTGACAAGCTGATAGTTAAATTTATATGGAAATTCAAAGCCAAGAAGCTTCCAAAGGCTTATTTTGTCAGATAACAAAACTTACTATGAAACTACAGAATTAAAACAAGGTTTTACTGGTCCAGGGATAGAAAAATGGGGTAACCAAGCAAAAGAGGGCCCTCTGAAACACATGGAGTCATAGGGAATCCTTCACCTGTGGACAGAGGTGGCTCTTCAGAGCTGTGGGAAAGAGCTGGGGGTGGAGTCAGTAATAGAGTGTAAGAGAGACTTTTTTGTTTAAGGTATTGGAGATTTCAACCCAGGGGTGCTCTACCACTGAGCCACATCCCCAGCCCTTTTTAACTTTTTGTGTTGAGACATTCTCACTAGTTGCTGAGGTTCTTGCTTCTGAGGCTGACCTCAAACTTGCAATCCTCCTGCCTTAGCCTCCTGAGTTGCAAAAGGTGCCCCACAGGAGTTCTTAAATAATTTAAGACACAAAGAGCACAGTCCATAAGGGAAAACATTACAAATTCATATACCTAGGAATCAACACAGAATATACAAACAGATAATGGCCAGCCCACATATGGTACAGAATTCTGAACTGTGATCTGCCCTAACTGACCCAGGGGCCACCATGACCTCTGCAGCCATCAGCCCAGATGGTCAGGGCTCGGTTAACAATTGCCCCTTTCTGGATATTTCCTTCCTGCTTCCATCTCAGGACCAACCAGAGAAAGCCAAATATGCTCCCCAAGATGCCAACCCATGCCCCTAGCCTCCCGTGTCCCTGCACCACCAGCCTGCAATCAACAGACCCAAAGCTTTCCTACTCCCCAGTCTGTCTTTGGGTCTCCACCAAGGGCGAATTATGGCAGCTTACTCTATCAAGCTCTGAATAAATAGCCTCTGTTTGTTCTCGTTTGGGTGGTTTTTGCTTACTTTCACAAAATTGAGAATTTTGCCCACCATTTTTCTATCTTTTCAATAGAGGAATGGATAAAGAAACTATGTTATATATACACAGTGGAATATTACTCATCATTAAAAGAGAATAAGCTTATGGCATTTGCAGGTAAATGGATAGAGTTGGAGAATATTATGCTAAGCGAAATAAGCCAATCTCAAAAAACCAGGGACCAAATGTTTTCTCTGATAAGTGAATGCTAATTCTTATGGGAGAGACACGGGATGAGTGGAGAAACTCTGAATGGGACAAAGGGGAGAAGGGAGGCGCCAAAGAGGAGGAAAGACAGTGGAATGAGACAGACATCATTACCCTAGACACATGTACAATTGCACAAATAGTGTGACTCTAATTCATGCACAACCACAAAAGTGAAAAATTCTGCTCCATTTGTGTACAATGAATCAAATGAAGAGCTTTCTACTATAAAGTATAATTGATTAGAACTAATAAAAAAATTTTAAAATAAAGAGATATACCTAGCTAAAAAATTAACCCCCCTCAAAAAAAAAAAGATAATGGAAAGACCATTTTGGAGTGGGAGAAGATGTTTACCATACATATATTACCACCAAAGAACCAATTCAGAGCACACACGGGAACTTCTAAAAGTCAACGGAAAAAAAAACTGGGGGAAAGACTTAAAGAAAAGAGGAATCTAATGATTGAGAAGCATGAAAAGAAAAAAACAACTCCTTAGCTTCCTCAGTAATCGGGAAATGCAGCAGCCTGTGAAGCAGCACTGTTCATCCCCTGAGGCTGGTGAGGATCTGGCTTGAAGGCCAGGTCTCTGCCCCAAACCTCCTTTACCTCTGGGGGCTCAAGGACAAGGGCCTTCCTGCTCCACGCTCAGGCATCTCATCTTGAGAGGTTGAAAGGTCATGTTTAAGGGCCCAAGAGTTGAAAGATTCTACCTTCTTAAACCAAGGAAGAATCAGAGACAGGGAGGAGAGGCTGAAGGACCATTGCTTCTGATCACCAGGGGGAAGGCAGACCCAGCCTGTAGCCCACACAGCTCTGTGGAAGCTCAATAGGCTGTTTCCTAGAATTTGTCATCCTGATCTCTCTTCCTGTATCCTTTCAGCAATAAACAAAGCCCATAAATAGTAATAGTAATGATCAAAGCATCATTACTAGTGGTACTTACATTTTAAAGACGGGGCTGGGTAGGGTGGGGTGGTGGAAATCAAGGTCGGGAAGTAGAAGAACTGGCCCAAGGCCATACAGCACAAAGAGCTAGGATACAGGCCTCCGTGACTCTACACAGTCGCCCACCACAGCCAGCGCTGCACCCTGGCTGCGTTTCTTACCTGCATTTCTCAACCTACAGCCTCTGGGGCACCTAACCCTGGGTCACTTTGCAGATAGGTGCACCTCCCACCCAACAAGAGGCCAAACAGCCTTGTTGCGTTTGAACTGTTCCTTTTGTGCTTTGTCTCATCAAAAAGACACTGTGCTCCCACACACCATGCCTACGCAATAGAGGACACCAACAGGGCGGAGGCATCAGCTGTCTCTGAGCAGAAGGCACACTTACCTTGCCCCAGCAGCAGCAGCAGCAGCAGCCACGAGAGGAACACACCCTGCCGCAGCCCCATTCCAGAATGCTCCAGGTGTCTCAGGACTCTGGGTGAATGACTTCCTTCTACAGATAGATGGGCTGGGATGATTCCTGCTGCTTTTGTGCTCCTCTGGGATCTGATAGTGCACCTGTCATAAATTTTACTGTGTTCACCTTTGAAAGGGGGCAGGGACTGGCTGTAAATGATAAATATTAACATCGAGGCAGATGAGTCAAACAGGTAGCATGTTCTAGTCACAGACACCAGGTCCCCACAGCTGCCTTCATGCAACCTTCCATGGGGACGAGTGACCAGAAATCATCAGTAGAGACTGCACTGGGAGGAGTGCAGGCTGGGAAATTCCATGCTCTGGACTGGAATTCCAAATCCACTGCAGCCATGAGAACTTGGGCATGTCCCTTAACTTGGCTTCAACCCTCTCCACTGCAAGCCAGGGGATAAAAGACCCAGGGAATACAGGTATTTTGTGACAACTGTAAACCACAAAAGCCCCCTCCAAGTGGCGGTTAAATTCTCTTCTTAGTCTGGAATATATTCCCACCATATCTCAGGAGTGCCACCCGGTTCTCTGGTGTGTATGACACAAACAGGTTTGTTTGTCCCCCACACCTCCAAATCTATGGGTGGCTGAGAGCATTGGGCCCATGCACACACCACTTATGTATTGTCTGAGTGTTGAATTGGGAGTCTCGAGCCAGAGAGATGAGCCACTGAACTGAATTGGACACAATCAGCAGTTTCCTTTGGGTACACGAAGTTGGGAATGTTGGATGGGATCTAAGTGGGGCAGACAGAGCTGGAATTGAAAGCCCAAGTGACAAAATCCCTTAAGAGTGAAACTGTCATTTTTCCCCACCAAAAAAATGATTAATATGCACAAATATATTTAAACTGTCCTTGACTTGTGGCCATCCCTGTGACAGCAGGACCCAGAATCTGACTCCTAGGATCTAGCTTGGAGTCCCGAGCTGGTCCCTGTTATCCATCCCAGATCTTGCTGTTCTGGCTGACCTGGACACTTTTCTCATATTTGAAAAATCACAGTTATAGTTCTATTGAAGTGGGCAGCCCTTTATCCCTACAGCCCTGATTTTAGGTTATTGTCCTCCTTTCTCAGCTTCTTGGTAAAACATGATGTAGCCAGGTCACAGGCTGAGCCTCAGCCTCTGCATAATGCTGTTGGGTCATGCTAGGATGTGAGCTCTGACGCTCTAGCCCCAGGACGTGGAAGAAGGCAGCATTCACAGTAAAGGAAGAATAAAATGTACCTAAGGTCAAGGTCTAGAGGAATCATTTGAGCACAGATGCTTCTAAGTACCTGGACACCTGTCTGCTTTACTTAACTGCCCACAAGTTCAATGAGAGACTGACAGTTCTGTCTCTCTGGTAGGAACCAGCTCATGCCACCAGCCACTTTAAGGAACATCACTGCACCTGCTTGGATGGAGTGAACATCCACAGGTTCCCCGCTCATCCTTAGTCCAGTTAGAGATGGGTGGGGAGGATGCTGGGCAAGGGCAGAAGCAGCCTGACTCTGAAGTGGCACCCCCTTTCTCCACACAAAAGCCCTCTTCACCATGGCTGATTTTAGGACTGTCAGCAAAAGAGTCTCTGCGAAAGAGTCCAATGTAGATAAACTTCCTATTTTCCTGTCGACCTGTTTACTTGGCCACTAGCCAGGAAGATATCAGCACTCCAGGTGCTGGACACCCCCTTACTAGGTTTTCACAAACATATCCAGTATAGTACGTTGTAGAAATGTGCAAACAAGGCCTTTGGCCTTGAGCTGGGCTTCACAGAGATGTGTACATTTTTAAGATAAGTTACAACTGGGCTCCATGGTAACAGCTGGAGGGGGAGGAAAGAAGGAGAGAAGAAGCTCTCCTTACTCAGGTGTTGTCCTTGAAGGGTTAACTTGCCTAAAACAGTGAAAGAAAAAGCTGCTTTTATGTGAACTTCTGCAGACTGTGAACTTCTGAGCCCCTCCCCTTACATGCTGGGTATAAAACTCTGAAACTTCCTGAACTTGGGGTTCAGGGGATTGATTGATTATAGCAAGAGCTGTACCCTCTGAACCTGGCTGCAGCCAAATAAAAACTGTTTATGCTATCTTCAGTGCCTTGCCTGGTCTGTCCCTACAACTCTACCTGCCAGGCACTCACTCCTGCCCTCTGCATGGCCAGACTCTAACCTCTTTACATTTAGAAAAAATGAGAAATGCCTTTTTAACAAGTATTTAATCTCTGAGAGGCAATGTGGTATAAACCAGGCTGAACTGCCTTTTAGATGGAAGGAGCTCAGAGTCCCATCAATACATCCAGGAATCCTCATCAGCTGTGAGAGGCGGGGAAAGCAGCAGCACTTCATGGACACTCCTGCCAGGGACTATGGTGGCCCCTTTAGACAAATGAGCTTGAATGACACCTGCCTCTCTATGTGTCTATGAAAATAAGGAGGGTGGGGGATATAGCTCAGTTGGTAAAGTGCTTGCCTCACATGCACAAGGGCCTGGATTCAATTCCCAGCAGGAAGGAAGGAAGGAAGGAAGGAAGGAAGGAAGGAAGGAAGGAAGGAAGGAAGGAAGGAAGGAAGGAAGGGAGGGAGGGAGGGAGGGAAAAATTAGGGGAAAAGTAGTCATCTAAAGCCAGAGATAAACTCTGTCACTTGTCCATAAACTTTGTTCTTTGATTTTCTGTGAAGGGAACAGTTCCCAGAGAAGCTAAGATGCTCCACTGTAGATTTATGGGACAGACACAGGTTCAGGAACTCCCACCGTGAAGGGGTGGCAGTGCATGCCTTGCTCAGAAGGCATCTGGGGGGTTGAAAAAGCTAAGGAGTTGCTATTTCCCAAGAATCCACAAGGGGGCGCGAGACCAAGCCTCTAGCTCAGGGCCTCTGTGGTTTAAAACAGAATGGGCCTTAGAAAAGAGGGTTAGAACTCATTTTTATCCAAAGAATTTAACTTGGTAAATGATCAGCCCATTGGGGGAAAAAATGAAATAGAACACAATATCTGAGGGTAAGTAATGTATTAGGGAAACTTGTTACAGCCCCATGTAGTGAGGGCATATGCATCTCCTAAGGAGGGTCATAGTCAAAAATATTTGAAAACAACTATCTTACTAGTGGAAATACAAAGAAATCTCTAGAATTTGATAAAAATAAGACTTAGATCTGTTTTTCTTCTGGTTAAAGGCGTAACTAGCACAATTCCCTTGTGCTAGGGAACAGCTAGAATGAAGGCCCACTAATTGCTCTGGGCATCAGGAAGAAGGGTAAGTGCAGGTTATATGAGCAGAGTGCAGGTCAAAGGAACCTCTCATCCTCTTCCTCCCACAAGGAAAACCCAGGTCCTCATGCTGGCCAAGCTGTAACCATGTGACAGGAAGTGTGCAGTGGCCTGTCATCTTGGATAGGGACCTACTGGTGCCTGTTTTCTAGCACAGGACCTAGGCACAGCATCCTAGTAGTGGGACTGGCTTGGCTGGCCATGGGCAGAGGCTTTGCTTACAATCAAGATACTAATGACCAGAAGCGCTTCGTTGAGGAGTGAAGAAGTAAGAGAGAAAATAAAGAAGGCCCAATAAAATAAATAAATAATATAAATAAATAAAATATAAAATAAATATATAAAATATATATTTATAAATATATAAATAAAATAAATAAATAAATATAAATTTATAGATAAATAAATAAATAAAAATATAAATAAAACAAAAATATATAATACAAGGGGGAGAAATGAAGGTCAATAGAGGGGGTAGAGAGAGAAGAGGGGTGGGGAGGGGAGGGGAGGGGGGATAGTAGAGGATAGGAAAGGTAGCAGAACATGACAGTCACTAGTATGGCAATATGTAAATCAATGGATGTGTAATTGATGTGATTCTGCAATCTGTATATGGGCTAAAAATGGGAGTTCATAACCCACTTGAAGCAAAGTGTGAAAGATGATATATCAAGAACTATGTAATGTTTAGAACAACCAACAATAAAAAAAATAAAATAAAAAAATATATATATATAAAGAAAGAAAGAAGGACCAGAAAAAAAGAAACCACAAGTTTTAAATATTATATTCTTGTAAATGAAAAGAGAAAGACTGACAAAGCAAATACTTACAGAAAAGATGGTCACCCCCTGAGAGAGGACACTTGGCCTGCCTTGACCTTTGCTATATCTCCAGCAGCTAGCATTGAATGAATAAATAAATGAATTAAAGTCAGAATAAAGGAAGGAGTGCTTGCCTGGATGGACACCAGAATCTTGAAAAAGAGCCTACACTCAGGTTGCACTCTAGGCCAACTAAATCCAAATGTGAGGGTGAGCCCCGGTGGACAGAGGCTTTGACTATTACAAGAAGATTCGCTTACAGAACATTCTAGAAAAAAAAATGAAAGGAATACAAATCATGTTTTAGATTAGAGAACTGAAGAAAAAGAGAAGCACATTGCTCTCAATACCATGAAGCAGGACGAGAATAGACAGTGGAAAACACTGAGGTTCATGGTCACGGCTCTGACCTAAGGTAACTGTTATTCCTCCACATGGTGGCTACATGTTGGAGCTACCTGGGAAGATCTTTTAAAGGTACCTATATCCACCGGGACACACCCTCACATTTGGATTTAGTTGGCCTAGAGTGCAACTTAAGCATAGGTTCTTTTCATAAAGATTCTGGTGTCCATCAGGGCTGCGATCCCAACTCAGCCAGAGCTCTCAGGGAACCACCCAGCACCCAGTACTCTGCTGCATCTACAAACCAAAAGTTCACCAATGCCAGAACAGGCTATGGACAGCTGGCAAGCTCAGGCTGACCTGTGACCCCTCTAGAGAGGAAATCCATAGAAATATATGGGGCAAGATGCTCAGACTTATTTCTCAGAGGTCAGGAGGTGGAATGGGAGAGAACTGGACTCAGGTGCCTAGGGAAGCCCAGGCATGGAGCATCAGATGATGCTTTTTATCCCTGTAGTCATTTCCTCTTCCTTCTGCCCTGGTTTCCTTAGCTGACAGCCCAAGTTCCATCTCCAATGGGCATGTGAAGAGTAGGCTCTCGGCATTGGGGAAGGGGTGAGGTGAGCCTCTCACTGCATGGCCCACTTCCTACCCAGCCATCAGCTCTGAGAAGGGGACCGTCACTGGCTGGCTGCCCTTTACAGATGGGGACATGTGAGGCACCTGCTCTAGGACCCTCCTGGAGGTCCTGAGGGCTAGAGGGTCAGTGTCTTTTCCCATCTGTAACACCTTAATGCACCTACAACCAGGTTCAGATTTAGGTAGTGTTTGGTGAGCACCTACTAGGTGCCAGACCTCAGCTTTTCAAGCTAATGAATGTCTCATTGAATAGCATCTACCTTCCTCGGGGGTTAAAAGTCCTGACTAAAGTCCCCCAACAGGAAGTTCAAAAGAAGGTTCTGGTCCAAGTCTCTTCCTCCACATCCATTCAGTCCTCTCCAGGGTGACTGGAAGATTTGCGTGGTGAGTGGCTTTAGCCCTTCAGGAGGAAGCCCAGGGAAGGCTCTAGATCCTGAACTGGTAGCCTTTGGCTTAGGTGCCCACTTCAGTAACAAAGTCTGGCAATGTGACCCTTCTCTCCTGGATCCTGAGTCTGAGGGACCCATCCAGGTGACCAATGGGCAGCCTGGGCACTGGGGCCCTGGCAAACCTAGGAAAGAAGCACCACTTCTACTGGTAGAATGCCCTTAACAATGTCCTCCTTGGTCCCATACCAGAAGGACTAGAAAACTAGACAGGACCCTCTGACCCACCACAGTTGGATGGATGGATAGATGTCCAGCTGTGTCCCCCCCTTCCCTTCTTCTTGGGGACAACCCCACCCTGTGGCAGGAAAACAACAAGGACTGGGGCAGAACTTGCCAGAGAGCGCTTGACCTAGTCCATTCCTCCTTACTCCCATTACACAGGGTAGGAAACTGAGGCAAGGAAAAGCAGAGCTACTCTGTGACTCAGAGCCTAGACTGGGTTTAGGACTCCCAGATCCAAGCCCAATGTTCTTTCCCACTCATCACCCAGGGCTGAACCACCAGGAGCACTGCAGCAGTGGTATCTTTAATCCAGTTTTGCACATAAGAAACTTAAAACCCAGAGAGGATTAGTAACTTGTCCAAAGTTGCTCAGCTATGAAAGGTAGGGCCCAGAGCTCTTGCCTCTTCATCACAGCCCAGGGGAACTAAGTTGGAGCCGCGGAGACTCACCCAGCATGGACCCTGTGCTAGTGGACAGAGGGCCTGGGGTTGTGGCTCAGCGGTAGAGTGCTCTCCTAGCACGTGCAACGCACTGGGTTAGGTCCTTAGCACCACGTAAAAATAAATAAATAAAGATATGGTGTCCAATTACATATATATATATATATATATATATATATATATATTTTTTTTTTTTTTTTTAAGCCAGAGCCCACTCCCATCTCCACTCTGGACAGGGGTCTCCTGGAAATAGGATGGTGTGTATAGTGGGCCCTGCACACGGGAAGCTCTCCCCTGGATGCTCCAGAACCAAGATGATCTGCACTTGGCACATCCTGCTCCTGGGTGGCAGGGCCAGGGGGAGCCCTGGGGAGAGAAATGGTGTAGAATTTGATGCTCCATCTGCCAGGGAGACCCTGCGGGAGCTCCTACAGCTAATCTTTCCCTTCCTCCATCCCCTTTGCATCCCATCCGTGGGAGCTGGAATCTGTCTTTCAAATCCAAAGGGAATAAGCAAGACTCCCTGTCTTCCCATGGGAATCATGCTGAGAGGGTCCTGGCTCCCACAGCCCCAAGCCACATCCTGCGCTGACCTCACCTGCCTCTCTGGCCTGTGCTCAGAACACAGCGCCTGCCCAGGAAAGCTCTCCTGGTCTTAGGGCCTGGGCAGGAACAAGAGACTCTCCAGATCCACCTGGGGCAGCTTACCTGCAGGACAACACTCCATCTGCACCACACGCACAGCCGCTGTGGAGTGGGGCCTCTGGGCTTTTGGCTGTGGGGCAAGGGATTGCTGAGGCATGGCGTCACAGCTTGGGCCAGAGCTCGGCTGTTGACACCACTAGACACTGAATGGCATGTGGGTGTTAATGGCTTTGGCAATGATGTTCAAGCTTGTTTGCTTAACCAGCTCCCTTTCAGTCACTGTTTACGTTTAATGGCACCACCTGGGGAGAGAGCTGTGGTGTGAGGGGGGGGAGAAGGTGAGGTGAGGCTGGGGCCCCGGACTTCTGTCCCCAGGGCCCTGATGCAGACCAGCTACCAGGCTTGGCTGGGCAGACGGTTCTGTGCCGAGCTTGAGCCACTGGGATGTCAGGGCTGGACTGGGCACCTTGCTGAGGAGTTGGCCCCCTCAGGATCTGTTTTCCTGCAGACCCCATCACAAGCGATTGTCCATGCACCTCTGCTTCCCGGCACCACTGGTCAACATCAGGCTCCTTTCTTCCTTTAGGGATTCAGGATCAGCCTATTCGTAACTGGAGGCTGATACTCAGAAGAGGAAACTGAGTTTTCAAATTCTACATGTTCTCCATCCTGATATTATGACATTTCTGAAAATGTCATATGGCATTTCTGAAAATGCCATCACTTAATCTATAGAAATATCTACATTCTTGTCACCCAGAGAGCAGATGATAAAAGCCAGATGTTAAGTCCTGGTTTTTGTGTTCCAAAAGCCCCAAATCACTTAATCTAAGACATGGCACCTCCTGGCTTTTGTTCATTTGAGTATGGTCCTTATTGACCCTCAGAGGCCTCCTTGGGGCCTGTGGGAACAGGAACACGCAGGGACATGCTTCTCCAGAGTGGCTGGAATCTCAGAGGGTGTCCTTCCATTCACTTTCTTCTTTACTTCTGGGACAGAGCCACCTTTGGCCAGGTTTCCATTGTTCCCCTCTGTTGACACCGAGGTCCAGGTTTCCTTATTTGCCTTGAGGCTCCAAGTTCTTGCACTTTGGCACCACTCACCTGGATTCCGGTAAGGACTCCTGCAGTTCACCACCCATCCATCATCTCCACCCACCACCAGGTGGACTTTCTGAAACACCTTACACTCTCTTGTCCCCATGACTTCTGCTTTCACCACTCTGCCGGAAGTACATGAAGGTCAACAGGTTGTGCAATCCAACCCTCAGTGAGCGCTCAGGCCTCCAAGCTGCCCTCTCCCCCTTTCCTTGGACAACTCTGTCCTTGGCCTGCAGACTTCTGGCTTCCTGGTTTCTTCTCTCAGGCTGTTCCTCCTCAGACTCCTTTGTCAGACCCTTATGTGCTGCCAGAGTTCCTCAGGATCTGGACTGGATCCTTCTCCTCCTCTTCCTGTCTCTCAGGGTGCTCACATGCACCCTGTGGCTTCATTTAAAACCTGTGTGCTGATCATTGCCACGTTTCAACTTCCAGCCAGACCTCTCTTCTGAGCCTCAGACCCCATAAACTCACTCACTGACCTGACGTCCCTACTTTGATGTTTCATAGGCTCTTCAGACTCCAGGACAGAAGGACTGACAGGGTCATCTCCCACCATTGTTGGTTATCTTATGGGGAACAGCAATGGTGGGGAACAGCAATGGCGGCAGAAGACAGAATCAGGAACTATCCTTAGACACTCGCTGCCCTCAGTCCTAACAGGTCATCAGTTGCTGAGCCCCATCAATTTTATATCCTGAATAACCTCATGAAACGTCTCTCTGTTCTCCACCTCCACCACCCAAGCTGAGCTCAGCTGCCATGACTGCCCCCAAAACACAAATAGCCAAAGAGTGGCTTCAACTCTTTGTTGTAGTTCTTACACAGTAGCCTGAATGATCTTGTCAGTGTGCACACTTGATGTCACACTCTTGTACAAAAACCCTTTGACAGCTTCCACTTCCTTTTGGACAAAGACTAAGTGCCTCTGTGGCTTATGATGTCCTGTGTACCATCCTCTTCTCTAGACTCAAGCTCCACTCTCCATCCTTGTCTCACTCTGGCCCACTGGGCTTCTTCATGACCTTGAACATGTCTTTGAACTTGTAGTTGCTTATTCAAAGTCTATCCTGTTGGTCTGACCTTAAGTTCCAGGACCACAAGGACTTTGTGGTTCATTGCGTGCCCCCAGAACTTAGTACAGGGCCTGACATAAGTAAGTGCTCAACAATTGTTGCACAGGTGTACAAATCCAGACCCACTCTGGTCAAACTTCTGGGGCCCTGGTGAACGGGATCACATTCTACTTCACAGTGGCTTAATTACCCTGTCCTCTCTGGCAGCTGGCTCACAGCTCCATTACACCACTTATTTCACCTTGTTGGGATCAAAAACAAGCCAACTGGGTTGTGTTCTTTGCTGGTATTCACCGTGTTGGTGTTGGGGTGTGGATACCAAGGAATGACCTCAAGGGTCTTCTATCACTGAGCTACAGTCCTCTTTATTTCTTGAGCAGAGTCTTGCTAAGTTGTTCAGGCTGGCCTCAAACTTGTGATCCTCCTGACTCAGCTTCCCAAATTGCTGGGATTACAGGCATGTGCTACCACACCCAGCTCTCAGACATCTTTGTAACTGCCTGCACAGCTCCTGATTCAGTGGCTCTGCCCCCACTAGTGCCACAAATACTAGACAGTGCAAGGGAGCTCTGCTTGGCCTCTACCTGGCCCAATATGCCTCCCTCCCTACCCAGAGTGAAGAGAGCTCCTAAAACTGTCCTCCTTAAAGCCAGGAAAACTGGAGAGATTCCTCAAGGTGCCAAATGTTCTGCGAGGTCAATTAGGGTCCCCTCATTTAGAAAATCTCCACCCTAATAGAACACTTGCCCATCAGAGGTTGTCTCAGGACCTCCTCTCTTTTCCTCTATAAAATGCGCGCTCCTTTCAGACACCTTTGAACCCCCTGTGAAGCAGAAATCATGCAGATAATTCCCTTGTGTCTGTAAGTCGGTAAGTAAACAGCCTTTGCTAATTTTGTCTCGGGGTTTGTTTAATTTTTTACTGTAATCCTGAAGCTGTGATTTGGATCTAGCCTGACCTGCTTGTCACTGTGGATCTTGGCTCCTGACCAGGCACAGAGCCCACCAAGGTCCTGTAAGCCTAGCTGCTCATGGAACGTCTGCTGGTGATGTAAATCTGTATAGGCGTCAACTCCCCTCTCTTTATTTTGAGTTCCTTGGCATTTATTTACTTCTCAGTTCTGGGGGTGGGGGTTATATTTGGTTAGGGTTAGCCAGGTATAGTGGCACACCCCTATAATCCCAGCAGCTCGGGAGGCTGAGGCAGGAAGGAGGTCATAAGTTTAAAGCCAGTTTCAGCAACTTAGCAAGGGCCTAAGCAACTCAGTGAGATCCTGTCTCTAAATAAAATATTTTTTAAAAATGGGCTGGGGATGTGGCTCAGTGGTTTAGCACTCCTGGATTCAATCCCTGGCACCAAAATTAATTAATTAATTAGTTAATTGGTTAATGTGGCTCTTTGGAACTGTGTCCTCGGTGACTTGCTACCTGTCCCTTGATTTTGATCCTGTGTTCTTGAGCATCATTTTGTCATGAAGAGGAAGATGTAGAACAGTATGCAGGCCCAGTTCCCAGCAGTTGGCTGCTTGAGCAGGTCTCACAGACCAGAGGATTGGCAGTCCTCCCCAAATGAGCCCTCTGTGGGGACAAGTACTGCTGTGGGTCACCCCTAAAGAGATTGTCCTCTTCTGGCTATTTGTCTTGAGAACATGGTTTTGATTCTGAGAGAAGAGTCTCCCTGATATATCCCACCTGTGGGGGGCCTCAGATTGTTGAGTCTGTGTTTGGAAATGCCTATTAGGTCAAAGGTCTGGGACATGGAGTTGGATAAGCAACTGACTGTCACTTCTAACTGGCCATCAGCAGGAGTCTTCATGGGTGTTCATGTGACTACTATACCTGCAATCTCTATCTAAAGAGCAGAATTTCAGCAATGATAATTTGGGCCTTCTGTGGACATTTGGTAGAACATTTAATGTAACTGGAACAGCTCATCTGAGAGGCACATTAGAACAAAATCAGAATGAAATTTCTCAGTTCCAACAAGTGGCATTTTTTTGATTGGCACACTGACATTTCTAGAACAAAAGATCTATGGAGATAGATGGTGGTGATGGTTATGCAACACTGTGAGTGTATTTAATACCTCTGAACTGTACAATTAAAAATTAGCTAAGATGGTAAATTTATGTGCGTTTCACCATAATACAACAATGATAATACAACAACACCCTGTTCAAGAATTAGACATGCCTGTACCATACACTTTAAACCCTGGCCTAAGAGCTCTTGTCAAAAATTCTGACAAGAAAACCATCTCTTTAATTCAGAATCTCCTGTGGGGTCATATCCAGGAATTTTTCCAATGAATTCACATGTTGGTAAGAATATCAGAGGCTGAATTTTCAATAGGAAAAGCAGACTAGATAATTCGGGTTCACATTGGAGATCCCTATATGCACAATATATCAAAGGGCAAGGAACAGGATACAGAAAATAGATGAGAATTTACTAAAAGAAATTTCTGGGACCTTGGCAGCAAACATTGATTGGACTTTGCTACAGTCTGGTAAGCAAAAAAAAAAAGATGAACCGGTGGGAGATTTCAGAGGGAGACATTGCCTTTCACCAAAACGCAGAGTCATCCCAAAGCCGACCTATCCTGACTCTCTCAATTATTTTGTAAATGGGGTTCAGTCTGAAATTTGAGACCCGGTTTGCAAACAAAATGTACAATCAGAGATCGCCCCACTGTCTGAACTAAAATACCTAACTGAACACTTGGACAGGACTCTGCAATGTTTATTTGGCTATAAAACTCAAGATAACTATATGGTTTTGCAGATAAAATAATGAGGTGATCCTAATTCCAATTGCTCCCTGTAGATAAAGATGCCTGTAAATGTTGTCAACACAGAAACACTGGGGAAAGTTGGGCTTAAAAAATGCAAATAAAGATTAGGGTTCTGCCAGCTGGTCTTTTTGGGGAAACTGCTTCCAGGTATCTAATTCAGGTGTCCAGGGGACCACCTTTTCTCAAATGATTGCTGCCCACCCTGGGTTTCCTGCCACATGCTCAGATGGCATAGCACCTCCTCCTAAAAGCTTCTAGGCCAGCCACTGCAGAAATTACAAGAGACAGCAGCACCCACTTTGAAAGCCAGGCCTCACCAGCCCTGCTGACCCTCTGCCACTCCTTTCTAGGCTCAATGCACCTATGGTTGGGACTAAGCCACATGCCTCCCTGGTTGCCTTGCAGTGTCCT